AGCAACCAGATGCAAACCTACCTTACGCAAAAGGGGATCGAGCACCATATTTCTCTCCCCTACGCGCACTAGCAGCAGGGCGTAGCTGAGCGGACGAACCGCACACTAATGACGAAGGTGCGCGCGCTGATGAAGCAGTCGAAATTGCCGCTGATCTACTGGACCTACGCGATGCACCACGCCGTGCGGGTGCACAACCTACTTTCGACCACCGCCATCACCGGCAATCTGTCCCCGCACGTCAAATGGACCGGGACCAAAGGGGATACCTCCATGCTGCGCGTATGGGGGTGCATGGTTCAATACCGCCCGCCGACTTCAACCACCGGCAAATTCGCCAGCCGCGCGCGCTGGGGGATCCATCTCGGCATCAGTCACGAGTACAAGGCGTGGATCGTGCTGGACCTCCTCAGTCAGAAAATCGCTCACGCTCGCGACGTCATCTTCTACGAGCGCCTCTTCCTCGACCAGTTCCGCCACGACGAAGAAACGAACGCGAACCGCGTCTACGCGAACGATGGGAACAGCTACGCAACGCCCGAAGACGAAGCCGCTGCAGCAATCTTGGAGCAGGGCACGAGGGGCGAGTTCGTGTGGGAAGAATGACGCAGCAGCGACGACGACGACGACGACGATTCCTCGGGAGGAGGAATGGGCGCAGCAGGCGGAAGCGGAACAGGCGGAAGCGGCAGAGGCACAGTACCACCAGCGCCTCCTGAACCAGAAAGCGATGACGACGACGTACAGGAAGTCATCCCGCAACGTCGCCACGACAGCACTATCTCAGGACTGCAGCTGCTCGGGCTTCACACCGCAACTTCGAAGGCGCCACGTGTCATCGAGCCCCGAAATCCGCGCGAAGCTCTTTCTGGACCATACAGCAAGAAATGGCGCGAAGCAATGGATGCAGAGATCAAGGCGCTGGAGTCACGAGACACCTGGGTGCTAGTCGACCGCGCGGCGATCAAAGGCGCAAGAATCCTCTCGGGGAAGTAAGTGAAACTTCTATGTTTTAGTGCTGTATATTAGAGCCAACTCGCATGGAGAGCGACAGTGAGGTGAGGAGGAAACGAGGACAGATGTTCTGGAACATCATCCTCCTCCCTAACTCTTGCAGTGTTTAGACGAAGACTTCGACATCAGCTTTCACATTGATCAGCTAAGCAGCTCCCTCAGCGTCCGACCATCATACGGTAACCAAAAATGGGGAGCTGAAAAGAGAGTACGGTACGTGAAAACCGCAGCGGACGGAACGATCGAGCGCTTCAAGGCGCGTTGGGTGGTTCGCGGCTACGATCAGAGGCATGGCATCGACTTCGACCAGACGTTCGCCCCAGTTAGCCGCCATACCTCCGTTCGAATTCTGCTCGCCATTGCAGCTGCAAGGCACCTACCACTCCGCCAGATCGACGTGAAGAACGCGTTCCTGTACGCGTTAGTGGACGCCGTGATCTACGTGGAGCAGCCGCACACCTACGGCGAAGGGGACTCGCGCGTGTGCCAACTGCGCAAGTCCCTCTACGGGATCAAACAGGCTCCGAGGCTGTGGCAGCAGTACCTGCACAACATCCTGCTTGAAATCGAATTCAAGCAGATGCCGCACGATCCAGGGATGTATCGCCGCGAATTCCGCGGGGAATACATTCTCCTCACGGTGTACGTCGACGACCTGCTTTACACAGGCTCAAATAACGAGCTTCTCGAGCAGTTCGAGAAGGCCTTGGCGGGGCGCGTCGACATCACGTGCAACTACGAGTTGAAGCAGTTTCTAGGCCTCAACATCTCCTACGCGCCTGAGGCCATTCATCTCTCAGCGGCTAAGTACGCAGAGGAGTTAGGGAAGCGGTTCAACATTTCACCTGCACCTCTCTCAACTCCCTACCGAACTCCCGGACCGAACCATAAACCCGACAACAAACCCCTATCCCCTACTGGGATTCAGACTTACCAGCAGCAGTTGGGATGCCTCCTCTTCGCCTCTGTCACCTGCAGGCCAGACCTCTCGTACATCGCCAGTCAGCTGGCGCAGTACTCACGCAAACCAACGGCTGAGAATCTTCTGGATCTGCAGCGCGCCCTTCAGTTCTTCGTTTCAACGCCCAAGATTGGGCTGTGCTACTCAACTGCACCAACTCCATCCTTCAACCTCATCGGCTATGTGGACGCCGATCACGCAGCAGACCCCGATAATCGACGGTCCAGGACTGGCTTCCTGTTCCGACTCGAGCCAACGGGACCAATCTCCTGGAACTCGCAGAAGCAGGAGCTGGTTGCCCTGTCGTCAGCCGAAGCGGAATTCATCGCAGCAACCGCAGCAGTTCGCGAAGGCCTCTACTTGCAGGAACTCCTGCAAGAGGCGAAAATTCCAGCTTCGCCCACATTTCGCCTTCACTGCGACAACCAGAGCGCGATTCGCATCGCGAACAAACCTGGTTTCGTCAACCGCACCAAGCACATTGCGCTGCGGTACTTCTTCGTGAAGGATGAGGTGGACAAGGGCAAGGTCAACTTGACCTACTGCCCGACCGGTGACATGGCAGCAGACTTCCTCACGAAGCGACTGCCACGCCAGCAGTATCAGCACTGCTCCGAACTCAGCAGCGTGGTCAAGCAGGTCAAGTCGAGCTACGGCCAGGAGTGAAGGGGGGTGTTACGAATAGTAATACTTGAATATTACTGTGCACTCCTCACCGCAGCAAAGAGAAGCACGCATTATCGCGAATGAACGCGAAGCGTCAGACGGTTGGAATCGACTCGAAGCGTCAGACAGTTGGGACGCATCTGGACCGTCGGAGCAGACAGCATCAGGCAGCTGCAGCCAGGATGGTTTCGGCGGGAACAGTTTCGTAACTGTTCGAGCCGCACGGTTGGGAATGTATTTGAATAAGGGAATGTACCCCTTAGAGTACATGGCTAGCTAGGTCGTTTCATCTCCCCTGTACTCATATTTATATTTGCTGTATTTGCATGTTTTAAATCATCTCAAAGCATTTTACATTCACTCTGCTATTGAGGTCAAGGGCCCACCAACATCACTTCTCTGCGTGCGAACCTTCCTGAGTAGATCCTAGGCCACGATCAACTTCTGATCGCAGCAAAATGTGCATTCGGGGCTTTAACGCTCGTTAACCTATTGGCCGAGTGTTAGCCTGTCGAACGCAGCCGAGACTTGACCCCTTCGCCCTCATAGAAAGAACCAGGTGCCTTCCCGCACGGGCAAAGGTCTAGCCTGCACCCAGCCTAACCCTCGCCCCCCAAAAGTGGGGTTTTGCCAAGGGCTCGTCAGGTGTTTGCAGTGGGAGGAACACCCACTCCGTGGACCGTAAAATAGAAACTTGTGAACGAGTTTGGTCCGAAAAATTCCTGTTTGTGAGTTGTGTCTGGGCCAAACTTTATTGTGAGGGTCGCTGTTTGTGGGATGGGCTTTTTTTTTTTTCCTGCGTTGTTACCCAAACACGTTTGGCGTGGTCCCCAAACTTTTCTACTGTGCCCGCGAGGAGCCAGGGTGAAGGAGGCGGGCAGCTTCGCCTTGTGGGACCCGCTCCTTCCGACCGCTAAGACTGAAGCTTCATCCCCCTGTTTTGCCCACGAAGGTGCGGTGAACCCTCATCTAAACACTAGCCTAACACTTGCCTTTTGCAGAGTGTTAGCCTGTCGAGCAGGGCCAGCATGGCGATGGCATGGCTTGGGGATGGAACTTTGCCTGGGGACGAAGTTGCGTCCCCGCTTCCATATGCCGTCGAGCAGTTCGTTTTGGTTGACAAATGGGGGTGTTCGCCAGACACCCACTTTGATTGTTGGTTTGGACAGTTGGGGAGGCTCGGCACCTTTTTTACGGGCTGACCAGGCTGACGGAGGTAAACGAACCCTAACTGACGGGATCAGGAAGGCGAGACCCACCTTCATGATCCCGTCGTATCCCATGGTTTTTCGCTTCATTGGTGCTGGCGAACAGCCCCCTTATGCGATTGGAGCGCATCTCGGTTCTTTTAGGTGTACTGCCTTTCAGAGCGGTATGCGCGAGATCAGTGCAACTTCCAGAACAACACGCGGTTCTACCAAACAAGTATGAATTCGCGCGAGCGGCGTTTAGGCCGCTGCACATGGTGATCTTTGCAGCCTTCAGGTTGTTGGGCTGGAAAATGAGAGATTTCAACCTGACCGAGCAGTAGCGATTCGTCAGTGTCATCCCAAGCCACGCAAGCTTCAAGCCTTCACGAAGCTTTGCGACTCTATTATACGTTGCAATTGGCTCCTTCACAGTCGTGGCTATTGTGCGAACAAATCGAGCCTCGAAAAGCGGTTGTGGCGACGTTATCTTCACGTCGAAGCTGAACATTAGCTTCGGTTACGATTGCGAATGTCGCAAACGTCGCCTCACGAAACGAAATCCAAACCTCCACCCAAGGCGGCAACAGGGGAACCCCTTGGCCGCGCCAACAACCGAAGCGCTTGAGGAAAGCACGCGAAATGGGCTCCGCGGTGCGCACAAGTGCTCCGCGCGTGTCTCTTCCTTGTATCTTGCGCAAGGCAAATCCCCTGATCATATCGAGCTGTGCCACGTCACCTCCTCCTCTCGCACCATGACAGCCATTGACGTTTGTCGTACCTCAAACCTTACCGTAAAATGAGCCTTGTTGCCGAACCCCTTCCCAGACCAGTGATGTTTCGCTGACGATTAGGTTCTCATCGGACCGTCCATGCTTCCCCCATCACCTCCCACTGTCCGATTGAGAATTATGGCCACCAGCAGTATCTCCGCGTTCCACTCGTCCCTATCGGACCGTCCACCATAAACACACAACACCCGCAAGATGATCCCGAGGCGAAATCTCTGTGCCAACGACCTCCCGAGCCAGCCAACGACCAGCATGCCATACCATCCAACCAAACCAAACAACCTGACCAAATCTCCCAAACCAGCTTCGGAGTTGGTTGAATTCATGGTGCGTGTGACCATCCAACAAGGGAGATGAGTGAGGGTGGTGTGGGGGGGTTGGATGTGCGCGTTCGGCACCTCCATCCATCCATCCAACTCCACTCAGGCTGGGGGACGAGGCGGGGACTTGAGGACTTGGAAAAACTCCAAGCAGAGTTGCGGTCCTTTTGGACTTGGGGGCACCCGCGCGCTCGGGGGAAAGGGGGAACGCTCTAGCACTTGCGAGGAAGGGGAGAGGGGCTTCCGGAGTCAGGAGGATTCGGGAACCTGGGAACCTGGCAAGTTGGGGGAACTCTCGGAGCGGGACTGGGGGACTTTGGGGGACACTGGGGAAGCCTAGGGATTGCACCACAGCGCATCCCCCTCATCCCATTCCTCGGTTCCTCCATCCACCCGACTCCAGCCCAGCCCGGCTCCACTTGAAAAACCCCAATGAGTCGACTCGACTTCTCACAAAGCGACTCCGAACGCCAACAGCGGCTCGCTTGAGAGAAACGCTCCTCCAACCCCCCTCCCTCCCTGCCTTGGCCTCTCTAGGGAAGACCCTTGGCTCCCAGTGGACCCACCGACCCGCGTTATCCGCTGCTTATTCCAACTTCAGAAATTAGGCGGCGCCTCTAATTTGTATGTTTATTTTGTTTAATCGATCGCCATGGCGGCTGGCTGTTCTAGGGATCTGTTTATTTTGAATTGCTGGAGCTTTGTCCTTTGAGACCTGAGACCTAGATCTTCACTAGTTGAAGCATTTGGTGTGCTTGTCTGGTTGCTGGTCAGCCCTTCTTTTTTCCCAGGAATGATTTCGCCTGACCATCGTTCATTTTCACCCGTTTTGTTTTTCCCCTTCTCTGCAGGTTCTTCGATCGCGGTTTTGTCCCAGATCTTGGTGTTTCCAATACCACTAGAATTATCTCTGTTTTAAGGAGTCGTCATCATGTCGGCTCCTGATCAACAAGGGCAAACGGAGGAGTATGCAGGCAATCCCATCCCGATGACGCCGCATCAGATGGCGTTGCTTCTTGAAGAAATCGCTAAGCTCGACACGGAGAGATTGATTCTTGAACCGGGCGTCATGCTAGCCGATACGGGCACTGTTCTTAATCTTAAGTAAGGCTCTGTTCTCGTCGTGGACTGCTTCGCCTTTTTTTTCCCTGTACTTAGCCTGCCCCGCCTGATGCCAACGTGCCGGCTTTGTCAAGGAAGTTGAATTTCTTTTCGTTCCAGTTCCTGGTTTGTCCTTTTAGTATATTTGATTCATCGCTACGTCAGATCTTGTTCCTATCAGCCGTTGTTTCTTCAGCGTATCACCTCCCGCCGTCCCAATCCTGTATGTGCTCATCGCTTTCCTGCGCGTATCCTCGTGCTTCTTCTGTCCCGTTGCAGTCTGATCCGACAAAAGGCCCTCAGTCCCGCCTACACGCTACCAGAAATGCTAATGGATCTAAATTCCATCTGCGAGCCTTTTCTAAATCAGAGCCCGAGCCACGCGCAATACGCCAAAGGCTTTCTCGAAAACGCAAACGAGGCAATTGTTATTGCGGTCAGAGACGCCCAGGTAAGCTCGGCCGGCTACCCGGCAGATGGAACGGTCCCCGTCGCGAACGGCGACCCGAACCAACAGCAAGGCCACGTGCAATACGCTCAGCCGGGACAACAAGATCCGCAGCAGCAGTATCAGCAGCAGCCGCAATACCAGCAGCAGCCGCCGCAGTATCAACAACAACCGCAGCAATACCAGCAGCAGCAGCAGCAGCAGCCGCAGTATCAACAGCAGTATCAACAACAACCGATGCCGCCGCAGCAGCAGCAGTACCAGCAGCAACCCCCGCCGCCGCAGCAGCAACAGTACGTACAGCAGGACGGAAGTATGTACGCTCCACCGAACGGAATGGTGAATCAGCAAAACGGACAGGGAATGAACGGGACGGCCGGCAACTCTTGGGTGATGCAAGTCGTCGGAGAAGACGGTAACGGTCAGATGCAGCCGGGCGGCGTGATGCAGAATCAGCACCAGCAGCAGCAGATGCCACATCAGCATCAACAGCAAGCGGGTTACCACCACCAGCAAAACGGCATGGTGCAGCAAGGGGGGCAGATGGTGGGTTACCAGCAGCAGCACCCGCAGCACCAGCACCAGCCGCCCCACCACGGGGGAATGCCCGGCGGCCCCCCCATGCCTAACGGTCCGGGTGGAATGCCCGAAGCTGTCGGCGACTCGTCGTTCGTCGGTAAGAAACGGCAGCGGATGGATAAACCCGGCGGACCCGGCGCCCCGGGCGCGCCGCCGATGAAGGCCGCGTCGGGCGCGCCTCGGTCGCGCGTGGAGGGGCGGCGGTGCGAGGTGTGCGCGGTGATTAAAAAGGCCGGGTGCGGCACGGAAAACGCGCACTTTAGGTGTCTGAAGCGGAAGCTTCCGGAAGGCGCGCAGGAGCTAGAGCGGAGAGTGGGAGAGCTGGTAGATGTGGGGAAAGAGGAGCGGGTGACGGTGTGGAATCCCAAGGAGGGGAGGAAGCTGAGCGGGCAGGCTGCTCCTATGCTGAAGAACCTGGTCGGGTGGCTGGCGAGTCATCCTGGGTGGGAGGCCCATCCGCGAGGATCCAGCCCTGTTGCAAGGTTAGATTCTGCTGCTGCTCCTGCTGCTGCTGTTGGTGCTGTTACTGTTGCTGCCGCCGCTCCCCTTGTTCCGTTACCTGCTGTCGTTTCTAATGCTGCTTGAGCGTGTAGCTTTGCCTGTCTTGGCTGTCAATTTTGAAATGTTGGAATCACTGCTATCTTGAGTATGAATTAGTGAGCCATATTTAATTGAACTGGAATTGCTATCTAGTAAGCCTTTTTCCAGTTACTACATGGACCTGTCAGCCAGCCTTCACACTCAGGCATCATCTGCCCCTTTTCCCCCCATAACTGCACATGCTCCTCATGTTCACTCGCCCTCGCCCTTAAACCAGTGCTCTGTTTCCTGTGTTACCCCCTCCCTCTCCCTCCACATTCCATCATCACAGAAAGGTTACAAACAACGGATCATCAGCCCCTCCCGCGCAAGCCCCAGCAGGTCATCACCTTGCTCCTGCCCCCGCTCCTCCTGCTTCCGTGCCCGTGCACGTGCCCATGCCTGTGCCTGTTTCCCAAGACCCCATCCCCTCGCGAACATGAGTGCAACTCACTCTGGCCATCTCATCTCGCGTTGGAGATGGAGGGAGAGAGGTTCAGTGCACCGGCTGGGATGTGTGGGACCTAAGCCTGGATAAGGAGAGTGATACACTGAATGCAGTGTGGTTGGAGGCGGTTCTGGGGGTTATGACTGTTTTATTCGTCAGGGTAAGATTTGAAGTGGGTCGACGGGGCACCGTGAAGGAGGATATGAGCATGGCATAATGTCGTGGTATCATGGTTATCACGAATGGAAGGTTCGGTTGAAAAGGCCTCGTTGGGAGGTTGGTTGGGGTTGGTTAGGGTGGGATTGACCCATGCTGGCGGTGGGATGTTGCCTGCCTGGCATGGCTCTGTTTGTAGTTATGTTTGCATGGCTGTTGTTACTTGTTGTAACTGATGTTACACTTGAAAGCTGCTGTGATGTCTCAGCCAATGTGGTTGGCTAATTAATGTGATGACATTATCTACCGTCATCACCCGGATATAAGACAGTGTTGAATAGTAGACAGGGGTTGTCTACTATACGGGTGTCTCTTATAAACAGGCTAGCCTCATTATAAAACACCTATTTGTGTGTACGAGATAAGACATATATGTCTTATAATCGAAACTTCAATAAATTATAGCGAAAGTTGAAATACCGCGTACATTTTTACCCTTGCGAAGCGCGAATTCTTCCACGCGCTGACCCAGGACCTACCAAATTTGCCCCTGCAGGTGTTCTCCATAACGTGGCGTCCCGGGCAGAGGTTGTCGAAGTGGCACCTTCGCAACATCCACACTCATTATGAGAAACTTTTTTTCAAGAAGTACGGAAAATATTTCTAAGTAGTTTAAAAAGTTTCCATTTATAAGACTTATGACACCCTAAACCATCCCGTTTACAAGATAACTCAAGCATTTTTGCCCGTGTACGAGATAAGACATATATGTCTTATATCCGGGCGATGACGGTACATTACATGCACCACTTGAAAGATGACAAAAGATCATACCATCCCACAATCAGAAAAGCTCTAGCAAATTGGTATGATAAAACCTGGTTGTGACTTTACATGATAAAAAATAAAAGCATAAAAGCACATGGTCCACTAAACAATTAAAAGTCCTCGTCATTGGAAGTAGGCAGGGTAACGGGCACAGCCCATCTTCCCAAGTGAGCAGTGTAGTTGATACACCTCACCACACCCTGCCCCACCACTCCTGCTGCAATCCCCCGCCCTGCTGCTCCTGCTCCTGCTGCACTGTTCCCCTTATTGTCAGACTCGCTACTTTCCTTGGGCTCACCAACACCATCAGGGAAATCGACGACAGTGATGCTCCCAGGGTCGAGGCGGAAGCTTCCCAGAGCATCATGAGGAAGCTTCAGGCAGGAAGCAAGCATCGCTTGAAACACTGTTTCATGGCCCACCACAATAACAGTTTCAGATCGCTCAATAGGGGGACTTCCTGGCCCTGCTACTGCCACGTCAGCACCTGCACTTGCTGATGTGGCGCGCTCCACTTCTGCCAGGTGGCGGCGAATGACAGTCCATGCCTTCTCAGCGCGGCCCCACAGGGACGGCAGAGATTCTCCGTTGGGCGGCGGCGAAGATCTGAGTTGATCCTCCCACCGCTCTTGTGCGGACACCTCTGCCATCATTGCTCCCTGAAGAGAGGGGGTGGTGCGAAGGGGATCGTAAGGACAATGAGCTGTGCGGAGGAAAGCTGAGTTACGAGTTGAACCGTGTGGCAGGCCCATAGAAGAGAGTGAGGGATAGTGACAAACTATTCAGCAAACCCACTGTAGGTTGATTTTGAGAATTCTCAGAATCAGCTAACCTCTCATGTGCATGCGCTCAAGTTTAAACCCCCCAGCTCGAAACCCCTGACCTGCCATGTGCCGTACTCCAGCTCTCATGTGCATGCGCTCAAGTTTGAATCCCCCAGCTCGAAACCCCTCACCTGCCATGCCCCATGGTCCAATTCGGTCAGCTTCTCCAATGCCTCCCCATCGACAAACCGCGGCACACAGTCCCTCGCTGTGGCGTCTTCCAAGCACCCCACACCCACACCCACACCCACACCCACACCCACACCCACACCCACACCCACACCCACTCAACTCACCTGCCATGTGCCGTACTCCAGCTCTCTCAACTCCTCCATATTCACCACTTCCACAAACCGTGGCACACAGTCGGCGCCCAGCCCAGGCACTCCGCCGCCTCATGCACCTCCACCACCGCCTCGGCCGCGCGCACAGCCTTTGAGCTCAAAGGCACTCCGCCCTGCGCACAGCCTTTGAGCCGACTCAACAGTGCCCCACAGCGCAGCACAGCCTTTGAGCCGACTCAACAGTGCCCCACAGCGCAGCACAGCCTTTGAGCCGACTCAACAGTGCCCCACAGCGCAGCACAGCCTTTGAGCCGACTCAACAGTGCCCCACAGCGCAGCACAGCCTTTGAGCCGACTCAACAGTGCCCCACAGCGCAGCACAGCCTTTGAGCCGACTCAACAGTGCCCCACAGCGCAGCACAGCCTTTGAGCCGACTCAACAGTGCCCCACAGCGCAGCACAGCCTTTGAGCCGACTCAACAGTGCCCCACAGCGCAGCACAGCCTTTGAGCCGACTCAACAGTGCCCCACAGCGCAGCACAGCCTTTGAGCCGACTCAACAGTGCCCCACAGCGCAGCACAGCCTTTGAGCCGACTCAACAGTGCCCCACAGCGCAGCACAGCCTTTGAGCCGACTCAACAGTGCCCCACAGCGCAGCACAGCCTTGAGCCGACTCAACAGTGCCCCACAGCGCAGCACAGCCCAGCACAGTGTGGAGAGAGGGGGAGCAGCGAGAAGCAGGCACACGGACTCAGCTCACCTGCCATGTGCCGTACTCCAGCTCTCTGAGCTCCTCCACAGGGACAACATCCACAAACCGAGGCACACAGTCGGCGCCCAGGCACTCTGCTGCCTCCTGCACCTCCACCACCGCCTCGGCCGTGCGCACCGCACGGGGCAGCGGCGAGCAGAAGACCGTGTCGACTCGCACGTCGAGCAGCAGCTCGGCTGTCTTGCGCGCCTGCACCACGCCTAGCATGCTCAGCTGCTCAAACGGGGACTGGGGGAAGCGGCGCTGTGCTGAGCTGTTGGTGTCGCCGTGGCACACGAGAATGGCTCGCGCCTTGGCCTTCCTCCCACCGGAAGCCATCACGGGCGGTGCAGGAGTCTGGAGGAGGTGCAGAGGGGGGAGGGAGGACGGGAACGGAGTAAAGGGAGGTGGGGGAGGTGAGGGGAGTGGCGAGCAGAAGACCGTGTCGACTCGCACATCAAGAAGAAGCTCGGCTGTCTTGCGCGCCTGCACCACGCCCAGCAAGCTCAGCTGTTCCGAAGGGGACTGGGGGAAGCGGCGCTGTGCCGAGCTGCTGGTGTCGCCGTGGCACACGAGGATCACTCGAGCCTTGGCCTTCCTCCCGCCTGCCTGACGCCCCTCCAGTCATTACAGGAGGCGCGGGGGTCTGGAGGAGGCACAATGGAAAGGGGAACAGGGGAGGGATGAGAGGGGATGGGGAGGAGGGGGTGAGGGCAGTGGCGAGCAGAAGACCGTGCCGACGCGCATGTCGAGAAGTTCGTGTGAGGGCAGTGAACCTCAGCGGGCAGTGGCGGTGAGGGGGTGAGGGCAGTTAACCTCAGCGGGCAGTGGCGGTGAGGGGGTGAGGGCAGTGGCGAGCAGAAGACTGTGCCGACGCGCATGTCGAGAAGCAGCTCGGCGGTCTTGCGTGCCTGAGGTGAGTGAGGAGGGGAGGAGTTCGTGTGGCTGTCTTGCGCGTCTGCACCACCCCCAGCATGCACCAGGATCACTCGAGCCTTGGCCTTTCTTCCGCCTGATACACCCCCAGTAATTACAGGAGGCGCGGGGGTCTGGAGGAAGAGCAGGGTAAGGGGAGAGAGAGCAGGGGAGGTGGGGGAGCAGGGGAGTGGGAAGGGGAAATGAGGAGGTGGGGGAGCGGTGAGCAGAAAGCGATCTCTCTCACAACAGTGCAAGAGCGCATGAAAACGGAATTGCACCTGGTTGAGTCTGCTGAGGCACACATAGGGCAGCAAATACTCCTCTCCCTCCACGCCTGCTTCTGTGAGCCTCTTGGTTCTCACCTGCTCTGCGTCTCACCCTTGTTCTGCTGCCACGCACACACCTGGTTCAGCCGGTTGAGGCACACATAAGGCAGCAAATACTCCTCTCCCTCCACGCCTGCTTCTTCCTCTGCAGCAGCAGCAGCAGCAGCAGCAGCGTCCACCAGCACGGCAGCAACATCCACCAGCACGGCAGCAGCATCGCTGTGAGTGTGACTGTAATCGTGTGCCTTGTACGGAGGGACGGCGTCGTCGGGGGTGTGGGTGCGGGCATGCGGCTTGTAGTGGGGGACGAAGTCCAGCACGCTGACGCCGCAGTTGCTCTGCAGTAAGAGACGAAAATACTCCGGACCCAGGCCTGGAAGGGGAAGGTGCATGGGAAGGAGAGTGGGAGAAGGTTACTGAAGCGCTTCAGAAAACGTCTCATCACGAGTGGCTTGTAGTGAGTGGCTTGTAGTGAGTGGCTTGTAGTGAGGGACAAAGTCCAGCACGCTGACGCCGCAGTTGCTCTACAGCAAGAGGCGGAAATAGTCGGGACAAAGGCCTGGGAAAATGTCAGGAGAAGGGGGGGGTGTACATTAGGAAGGATTAGGGGAGAGTGGAAAGGTCTTAGGGAGAATGAATTTTTGCATGGTGAATGCTTATTAACGACAATGATGCAAAGGTTTGCACATTCATGCAAGATCAGGGCCCAGTTCGGCAGCCACGGAAGAAGGACGGAAGAACAAATTTCCCTTCTTCTTCGAAGCTTCGAATCGCATTATCGAGGGCAAAACAGTGCGGGCTGTAGGGTAAAACTTTCGGAAATCGAAGCGCAGGTGTTTAACAGTAGCGATGCGAACCCCACCTAAAATTGATTCCGCGCCGTCTGCTGTCCTTATTCTCCCCCCCTTGGCGGAAAGTTTCCGCCCTAGCGAGACGGAAGAAGAAAATGATTCTTCTCCAGCACAAGAATCAGAAATTTTGATTCCACAAGATTCACTGTTCACTGTTCACTGTTCACGGGACAAAAACAGCACATCGATGGGATGGGTTATCCAAACAAACCAGAATTCTCCAATAGCGTGGGGTTCTGTCCCCCTTTTTTGTTTGGGGCGAGCCCGCTACAGTGCCCCAGGACATTCGAATGTCCAGGCAAATGTGCCTAGACATGCGGCGCTGTTTCCCAACCTCCCCCTCCAACCTGCGCCAGCTCCCCCATGGCGCAGGTTGTCCGCGGAGTGGTCAAACCAGGGTCAAAATTCGTTGATCCGGCTTTGACGCGCGCCTCACCTTCCCCTCATCTTCCTAAAATTTGCTTCCCCCTGGCTGGCTGCCGAACTGAGCCCAGGAAATTTCATGCGCATTCATTCACATTCGTTAACAGTCGTGAACATTCGAGCACAGCCTTGCACTTTCTATGCCAATTCAGGCACATCTGGGTACATTCAGTCACATTCGGGCACATTCAGGCACATTCTATGCACATTCACGCACATTCACACACACTCTTTGCACATTCAGGCACATTCTATGCACATTCACACACACTCTTTGCACATTCAGGCACATTCACGCACATTCAGGCACACTCTATGCACATTCAGGCAGATTCTTGCTCACACAAACACACGCACATCCACCTGTGGCAGTGGCCACTAGCGCCTGGTTCACAGCGTTGTGCGCCATGACTAGCACGGAGCGCCCCTTGCTCCTCAGGATCTCCTGCCAGCACGCCTCTGCTCTCTTTCCCTCTTCTCTCACACACACACACACGCGCACACAAACACGCACACACACGCACACGCGCGCACACACACACACACACACACACACACACACACACACACACATCCCCACCTGTGGCAGTGGCCACTAGCGCCTGGTTCACAGCATAATGTGCCACCACCAGCACGGAGCGCCCCTCGCTCCTCAGGATTTCCTGCCAGCACGCTGCTGCTGTCTCTCCCTCTAACACACATGCACCCACCCACCCGCAGACACACACCACCTGTGGCAGTGGCCACGAGCGCCTGGTTCACAGCATTGTGCGTTACCACCAGCACGGAGCGCTGATACCCCATCCCCCATGTGCCCCCATGCACACTCACATACACCCCCCCTACCTGTGGCAGTCGCTACGAGAGCCTGGTTGACGGCATTGTGCGCCACCACCAGCACGGAGCGACCCTCGCTCCTCAGGATCTCCTGCCAGCACGCCTCTGCTCTCTCACACACATGCACCCACCCACCCACCCACACACCCGCACACACTCAGCGCACCTGTGGCAGTGGCCACGAGCGCCTGGTTCACAGCATTGTGCGCCACCACCAGCACGGAGCGCCCCTCGCTCCTCAGGATCTCCTGCCAGCATGCCGCTGCACGCGCCCACAGCTCCCTCACGGGGTAGTGCCCGTCGATCTCAAAGTTTGCTGCGTCCTTCTGCCACATGCGGTAGTTCTCACCGAATCGTGCCTTTCCCTCTTCTTTGAAAAGCCCCTGTGGTTGAGTCGGGCGGAGTGGGGGTGTGCAGCGGTGCAGAACGGTGGATAGGTTTGGGGGTTCAATCTGCCCGCGCCCTCAGCTCCCTCTCAGGGCAGTGCCCGTCAATCTCAAGGTTTGCTGCGTCCTTCTGCCACATGCGGTAGTTCTCACCAAACCGTGCCGTGCCCTCTTCCGTGAACAGGCCCTGTGGTTGATTGGGGTGGAGTGGGGTGTGCAGCGGTGGAGAACGGTGGTTTGGCTTGGGGGGGTTCCAACTTCTCCTCACGGGGTAGTACCCGTGTGCTGCGTCCTTCTGCCACAGTAGCTCTCACTGAACTGTGCCTTGCTCTCTTGTTTCAAGAATCCCTGTGCCAATATGGTAGGGTAGGGTGGGGTACGGTGCAAAATGGGTTTGCAATGGTGAGCATTTTGCACATACATAAGGCAATAAGCCACGTAACGGTCAATCTCCCTTATCGAGCCTACCTGAAACGAGTACAGGTCTATCTCCCGCAGATCGTGCAGCGGAATCATGGGTGCCGTGCGCGCCGCCCAAATAACCTCCGCTGTCCGTGCTGACCGTTGTAACGGGCTGCCCAAAACAAAAGAGAATGGGTGCGAGGAGAGAAGATGAAGGGGGGAAAGGGGGGAAGACGTGGCAGATGGCTATGATGGATAGAAGAACATATGCAGAATGTTTTATGTGCGGAATTGAGTGTCAAAGCGCGCATGGGGCTAGTCACCTGTGGAAGCAAACATCGAACGAGTCTGCAGCGAGCACGGGGCTAGTAACCCGTGGAATAGAGTAAGCACGGGCTAGTCACCTGTGGAAGCAAACATCGAACGAGTCCGCAGCGAGCATCTGCCGGCTCGTCTCTGCTTGGCTCTCGCCCTTCGCGGTCAGCACGGAAAAGTCCGAGCTGCCCTGAATTCTGCCCGTCGCGTTCCACGTGCTCTCCCCGTGTCGCACCAGCACCACCCGCTTCGCCTCCTTAATCACAGGAAACTCGAACCCTCCCAGGTTCGGCGCGCTCTGCGCCGCGGAGCCTGCATCCCGAACCTCTGTCGCAGGCTCGGAAACCGTAGACGCTGTTGCACTCGCCGCTACATTGGTTCCCGCGCCTAACTTTCCCGAAGCTGCGGTCGAGGCTCGGATAACTGCCCTGCGTTGTAGGCTGGGAACCGAACCAGACAGCAAATTTTCCGGGCCGGCGAAAAGCGCGGTCGTAGGCAGAGTCGCCCGACCAGCGGCGAAAGTCGTGCGACTGAATGAGAAGGGCGACGTTGAGCGCGACAGGGTAAGTAGACGCGAGGTACCGAGGAGAACGTTGCGCGGGTGGGATGCGACTCCGAATTCCGTCGTTGACGTTACTGGCGACGGGAGAATGGCTGCCTTCAGGCGCAGCAATGTCGCCATTATGCGAAATGCGACAGGGAGAGAACTCCAAAGCACCGAATTTCTGTAGTTGAAGCGACAAGCCGTGGGTAGTTTAGTAAGCCTCGGCTGCTGCGGGAATGGGGAACAGTGGAACGCAGCGTAAAAAGGTCTTACACGCGCTTCGGGTACTGCTGCTGGAGCTTATCCTCCACTGTGGGGTGGGTGGCGCCACTGGTTGGCCATTTGGCACCATAATGTGGCAGAATGAATTGTTCGCGCTATAGCGGGTGCACATTGTAGGGAAGACTCTTGGTCCTGATGCTTGTCCACAACTTCTAGTGCTTCAGAATCTGTTACGTTAAAATATTACATCCAAATGGACCATACAGAAATTGGGGTAAGGTACACCAAGATTCTAGTGTCATACCAGCATACTGAGTGTACATCTCAGAGTAGCACAAGAAGTGCCACACAGATAAGTAAGCCCCTATTAGGAATGGACAAATGGGCAAAGGACACCTGGCTACCGACCAATCCCTTATAATACATGCAGTCACTTCTATGCTGATCCTGTAAATGTCAAATTGGCACACCATGGCAGAACGGCTTCCAAAACTGACCCCGCATCTCCCCGCTCGGCTTACTGCTCGACGTAAACACCGCATAATACTCCCACGGTCTTTTTGTCATCGCGTTAATTGCCGTCTCCATGTCTTGACCGTTGGCGACTGTAACAGATGCTGCATTTGTGATAATCGTGTGTATAATCACCTCGTCCTCGTCGCTGTCTATCAGCCACCAGGAGCCAGGGACCTCCATTACAAGCGGCCCCGTTTGCCCGTATTGTGCGTTACGAATCTCCACTTTCCGCACATTGGGTAAGCATTTGCTGTTTACATAGAATTTGACGTATGAGACATTCTCGGGAGTCCTGGAGGAGGGGGAATGGCAGAATGAACAGCAGCAGAGTGGGGGCGGCAAAAAAGCGTTACACTGGAGGAGTGGCAGGGGAGCAACAAAGCAGTACTTTTGTAACATGAAAACCGTGCAGATTAAGATAGAGGAGGAAACAAGCCAGGAGCAGTAGGAGGAATACTGGGGGAGGGAGAAACAAAAATTGGGGAGGGAGGGACAATGGATGTAGGGTTGGGAAAGGGAGCGGTTTGTAGGGATGCTGAACAGAAATTGTGTACTTACGTGTATTTGATGATCCGCACGTTTCCAGTGGGCTCGTAACAAACATCATCGTCGTCATTATCCCTGCCTTCCCTGCTGTCCCCATCTCGTTCACTATGACCCTGAATCTGGTACTGGCTCACGCTCACTTTAGTCACGCTCGCGTCCGGCGCTATAAAGAGCGCCTCACTTGTCCCTCCCAACGCCTTTTGAACCCTCGGTTGCCTGAAAAACGCGAGAATGGCTTTCAGCTTCCCTCTGGCAGCAGCGCTGGCTGTGTTATTGCTGCTGAGCCATTGAATGCTGTTCCGAATGCTGCTGAGGCTGTATCCAATAAACCTGTTGCCTTGAAACGATCTAAAAAATTTGGAAGTTGCATATGTTGTCACTGTAGGTGTGCTGGATACTGTAGGTGTGGATCTTGAGGAGGGTCCGGAGGAATGCAGCAGAGGACGCGAGCTGCTGGTCCGAAAGGAGGTGTAGGAGGAGGGGGAGGACGAGGAGGAGGAGGAGGGGGAGGAGGAGGAGGAGGAGGAGGAGGAGGAGGAGGAGGAGGAGGAGGAGGAGGAGGAGGAGGAGGAGGAGGAGGAGGAGGAGGGGGAAGAAGAGGGGGAGGAGGAGGTGGGGAAGGAGGGGTGGAAGGAGGAGGAGAAGGAGGAGGAGGAGGAGGAGGAGGAGGAGGAGGAGGAGGAGGAGGAGGAGGAGGAGGAGGAGGAGGAGGAGGAGGAGGAGGAGGAGGAGGGACGGGAGGTGGCAACTGGAGCGGGCTGGTTAGTGGGGGAGGCGTATTTGGACAGGCTCTTGCTGAGAGCGAGGTTGTACCTGTTGGCCTGGGTGAAGAGCAGGGCTGCGGGGGAGCGAGAATAGGGGGCGCGGAAAGAGGAGAGGGAGTGGGTGTGTGAGTGAGTGTGAGAGAGGAAGTGACACAGGCTCTTGCTGAGAGCGAGGTTGTACCTGTTGGCCTGGGTGAAGAGAAGGGCTGCGGGGGAGCGAGAGGGGACGCAGAAAGTGGGAGAGGGCGAGAGTGAGGAGTGAGCGAGTGAGTGAGAGAGTGAGTGAGAACAAGCCTCCTTTTGTTGAATGGGAAGAGTGAGAGGAGAAGTAGAGGCCGGGACACACTTGCGGAACGAATTTGGACAGGATGGTCCTGCAGGGCGGTGCGAGGGGTGAGGCGGTGCGAGGAGTGAGGTGGTGCGAGGAGTGAGGCGGTGCGAGGAGTGAAGGCGGCGCGAGGAGTGAGGCGGTGCGAGGAGTGGTGGATGGAACCGCAGCTTTATATGAAAAAAGAGTAAGACGGAGAGGAAAGGGAAAGGGAGCGGAGGTGACGGGGATGGGATGTGGGGGGGGGAACATGGGGAAAGCGCAGCAGATCACTCACAGTCTATCTTCCCCACGGGAATCGAGCCGTTCAAAATGCCCTGAATGTATTCCAAAAACGGATCGTAGGGGGGCGATTGAGCGTTCGTGAGAGTGGGGCACGCGAGGAGCAGCACGACTAGGAGGCGACGGGCTGAGGTGGGGTTACAAGGGGGGGAGTGGGGGTGGGGAAGGGGAGGGAAGGGAAGGGCGGGTAAGGGAAGACTTTAGACTCGAGTCGAAAGAGTGGGTCACGCGAGGAGCAGAGGGAGGAGCAGCACGACTAGGAGGCGGCGGGCTGTCGTGGGGTTGCAGGGGGGTGTGGGGGTGGCAAAGAGTTGGGGAGGGAAGGGGGAGGGGAGGGGAGGGGAGGGGAGGGGAGGGGAGGGGAGGGGAGGGGAGGGGAGGGGAGGGGAGGGGAGGGGAGGGGAGGGGAGGGGAGGGGAGGGGAGGGGAGGGGAGGAGGGGGGGAGAGAGGGGAGACTTTTAAGTCGAGTCAAAAGGGGAGGACACGCGAGGAAGAGAGGGAGGTCGCGGGCTGTTGGGGATATGGGGAGGCCGGGGCACGGGCGGGGAAGGGAGAACGGGGGTATGGGAGGTGGGGTAAAGGATGGGGTTAGTTACAGGGCAGGTATGGGACGGGGAGACGTAGGAACTGCAAGGAAAGAGGCGCAACCCTAGTAGGGTGTGGCAGCATATACGATGGAAGCGAGGTACAGCACGGGTGCTAGATTTGAGAGAGGGGAGAGGGGCGATGATGAATCGAGGTAGCGGAGAGGGAGGGAAAGGGGGAGGTGAGAGGAGCTGGAGGCAAAGAGCTGGTAAGAAAAGGACTTGGTTTTGTCGCTCATGAGAAGCGCCCATTGATGCAACTCGAAGAATGTTTCTTCGAGACCCAGACTCGGACGTCGCTCATTCGGTTCATGGAACAGAAAGAGCCGCTTTATGGAAAGCCGCTCTTTGAGTCGACTAAGCGCCGCCACATGTGGCTCACCTGAACGACCGGACAGCATCACGTGCGACTCGAGACTAGCGGCTCGCGGCTTGCGGCTTGCTCAGGCTCGCGACTGGCATGCGAGGGTGACCACTAGGGTTTGAGAAGTGGGATGCGGGCTTGAAGAGGCTACTATGTGTTGCTATGGGCCGCTGCGGCCCTTGCGCGCAGGCGTGGCGTGCTTTGACGCGCCTCAAAAATCGCACGAGGCGTGGCGTGCCACTACCTCGGCCTACTAACTAACCCGACCCGGTCGCACGTGGAGCGAGCAGCATCTCTCTAAGAATCATAATACAATCTGAGCGCTTTCTTCAGTCCTAAGAAGAGCTGCCGCGCTTAGCTGGCGGTTGTGCAATCTTGATAGGTGGGACAGCATATCGCAGGCGAAATGAGGACCATGTTTTTCTTTCTGGAGCGAAATTAGGTATGGAGCAGTGACGTGTGCTGCTGGTGCTGCTAATGGCGTTGCTGCTGTTGGGTGTTAGGGGGCAAGGCAAGGCAGAGCAGGGCAGCCGCGCTTCTCAGAGTTTCCACTCGGTACCACTGGATACTGGGCAAAAGGGAGCAATTTGGGCGAGATTGTTTGTGGCGGCCATTGGTGCGGTTCGGTATGACTTGTTGGGGGCTGGTTGGTTGTTGTGACACTCAGCGCGGTTCGGTTCGCGCCGTGCTTGATAATTGGCAGCTGCTGCTGCAAACTGCCCCTGCTGGTTCGGCGTCCATGCCTGGCTAGGCTATGGCTGTTGGTTCGTCAATAGCCCACAAAGCGGTAATCTCGCCTGCTTCGGAAACGCGCCACGAAACAAAGGTGAGAGGCATTTTCGGACAACGCCTGCGGCAGAAGGCCCAGGAGAATTCCATATCTGCCCGGTAGGTTCGGCCAGGTGCAACTGCTTTCCTTTTGTGACAAAGCCCAACATCGCTTCTGCCCGAACGAAAGTAGTCAATGGCACCTGGGCTGGGCTTTCGTCCAAATCGCGCGCGCGAACGTGAGGGGGCTCAGGTTCGTTCGGGTCAGATGTTTTGGCTGTATTCGACAGGCTCACGACGGTGGTTTGCACGAATTAAAGATGGTACAGTGAATGTCCAACAAAATATATAGCTCATGTTTAATTCTGCTACAGATACAAAAATGAACACAGAAAATGCACTTGTACATAATTTACCAAACACATTTGATTGCCACCCCTTCGTCAGCCACCCACCAGTAAAATTATCATTAAATTACATCAATAGACATGCTTCCACCTAGATAGTGGCGAAGATGGAAAACATGGTCCAAAATATATGCACAACCTTGGGTGAACGATTTATTCACCCTAAAGCCCCTACAACCAGCCTTCACACTTCAGGTTCCTGTAAATGTGAAGTTAGCGCACCAAGGGCAAAAGGGCTTCCAAAACTGGCCCCTCATTGCCCCTTTTGGCTTGCTCTTTGTGGTGAAAATAGCATAATAGTTCCACGGCGCCTGAGTCATGGATATAATTGCCTTCTCCAGAGTCTGCCCATTTGATACAGTCACACTGCTCGCATTGGCAATGAAGGTGTGCTTAACCAGCTCGATTTCATCCTCCTCCCAAAGCCTCCACGAACCCGGGATCTCCATTACAAGCTTCCCCGTTTTCCCGTAAGGCGCGTTGCGGATCTGCACCTTTCTCACATCGGCAAGGCACTCGCTCTTAGCTCGGAGGATCACATAGGAGACGTTTTCAGGGGAGCTGCATGATTGGGTGGCGGTGGTTGCGGATCAAAGGGTTGATAGGAGGAAAAGTTGGATGAGATGAGAAACAAAGAATGTGGTGCTAATCTCAATGTACCTTACATAAACTTGAGTGACCACATTGAAATAACCTTACTCCTATGCAAACATCATTGGATGCTCAGAAACGAATATGATTGTAAATGTGCACTCACGTGTACTTGATTATCCGCACTCGCCCTGTCGGCTCCACGCATTCATCCTCGTCATCGTCCTCATGGTCATCATCGTCACTCTCAATCCGGTACTGCCTCCCACCTCGCGGCCTCCCATCGCCCTCTTCACCATCGTCGCTTTGCACAGTAACAGCACCGTAACTCTGCACCGCATAACCCGTGGTAGAAACCTGACCGTTACTTTGGCTCACGTTCGGATCTGCAACGGGATCTGCGGGTTTTGGCACCGTCTCTGGCACGGCGGTCTGCGCAGCCGCCAGCTGAGTGATTCCCTCCGCTTCCAGCGCGACCTTTGCGCCGGGCGAAACGAAGAACGCGCGGCTCATGGACCCCAGCGCTTTCGCGAGGCTCGGCTGGCGGAGCAGCTTGAGGATCGAGTTCAGCTTCGCGAGATTTGATTTTATCACGGTCGCGTTGGTGCTGAGCCATTGCACGCTCTGCTGAAGGAGGGTGAGAGAGGGCGTCTTTGATTTGGATACAGAGCGGATGAGCGACAGGATGAAGCGTAAGAACGGGCCTAGGTTGCTGCCGCTGCCCCCGCCACTTCCCCCGCCACTGCCACCGCCAGTGCCGCCGCCAGTGCCGCCGCCAGCGCCGCCACCAGTGCCGCCAGTACCACCAGTACCGCCAGTGCCGCCCGAATCTCCCGTGGTGCTAAAGACGGAGGCGCTCCGGAAAGCGGAGGAGGAGGCGGCGGAATTGGCGCCGGCTTTATTGCTGAGGTACAAGTTGTACTGATTTGCCTGCGTGAACAAGATGGCTGCAGGGCGGAGGGAAAAGCGAGGGAACATGGTGGGTCAAAAAGGTTCAAGAGGGAAGACGCGGGGTGGACGAGGGAAGGGAAGAGGGGAAGAGGACCTGGACCCAGTAGATGGCAAAAAAAAAAAAAAAAAAAAAAAAAAAAACCTCTTGAAAGTGGATATGGGGCCAATTGTGCACAATAAACTCCTGAAAAATACAAATCACGGATGAACGGATGATTGCGTCAGTTTGAGGGCTCCTGTAAGCGCTTACAGTCAATCTTGCCGAGGGGCGTGGACCCGTTCAAAACGCTCTCGATTTGGTCGAGAAATGAGTCGTACGTTGTCTGCGTGTGTGAATGCACAGCCAGCGACAAGAGGAGGACGGCCAGGAGGACCGACCGGGCTAAGCGCGGCGATCCCATGGGCGAGCGTCGGAGGGAGATGGTACGGCTGGAGGAAAGAGTGTCGGTCGTGTATTAGTGTAAAGGGAGGGACGCGGTGCGGTGCGGGGCCCTGTTCGGTGCGATGAGCGAAGTCGATGCGGTGCGAAGTCGAAATAAAATACTCTAGGATTTTGGCAGCGACTAGGTCAAATTAAGGGATTTAGAAGCAAGGTTTTGGGAAAGGACGTACAACAATGAAGCACCGTACTTAAAACTCATGACTAAGCTCTTCGGCTACTGACTTATTACGCCACAATGTTTGCTGCTTCTGGAGTTTGGGCTTGTCGCGGAAGTCCTACATGAAGAAAATAGTTAGCGTTGACATTTGAACGGACATTATTAGTGAAACATTTGACATTTTTTAGGCCAGGCTTCACAAGTTCTTGAGATTGGGTA